GCGCTGAAGATTTTTAAATAGCAAAAAAAAAAAATGGATGCATTAGTTGTGTGCTGCCTATTCTATATGATAGTTACATAATGGGCACTAAAGCTAGTTATGTTTCCCTGTTATATTCCATCGCACCGGATGGTGTTGCATACATCATTTTGATAAGGCTTCATTAAAGGCTCGTCAGATACTGCAGCTTCAAAGGTTTCCTTCAAGCAGAACTGGAGTTACTATCACTTGACGATTATTATCTCTCAGAACAGCCTATTCCATACACAGAAGAATGGAATTTTTATGAAGATATCCCCATCACAGATTGGAGAGGGGCAACATATATTATATAAAGGAGTCAGAGGAATAAGAGAGAGAGAGAGAGAGAGAGAGAGAGAGAGAGAGAGAGAGAGAGAGAGAGAGAGAGAGAGAGAGAGAGAGAGAGAGAGAGAGAGAGAGAGAGAGAGAATTTGGATGAAGCGTAAGGCTGTGAAGTGATGGTTGTGGGAGTTGACACAACAGAGGACACTCAGAAACAGAGCTGCTGCCACCGCACATCTAACAAACAAGAAAGCAAAGAGAAAGAATAGAGAAGACGTGTAGAGATGTGGAGACATGGGTAAAAAAGAATAAATGAAGATTTGTACGGAGGTCTGGTATAGCAGACCACCACCACAACACCGTCACTGCTCAGACTACAGGTGCAGCTTCCGCCACGGCAGGGAGTGTGTGGGCGTGGTATGGGCGGTCTGCTCTCCCACCCAACCTCCCTCCATCATTCTTGTCGCCCTACTCTCTTCCTCTTGTATTCCCCCATCGTAAGAGGCGGCGTCTGGCCCCCTCACGTGGACGAGCAGGCAGGATAAACCTGGAGCCAGGCAACGCCCGGAGCCAGGTCTAACTGGCTTGATGAAACCATGTGACTCCAACTCAGTAGCAGTGTAAGTCACTGCCTCAGGGAAAAGAGAGGAAGAGAGAGTGGGGAAGAGAGAGGGGAATGGGAGAGAGGAGAGTGAGTGCCAGACGTGACACGGAAGCCATGCATGACGTCAGGTATGACAGGTGTGAGAGGAACCCACCACTATGATATAACCAGGTTTAACCCAGGTCAAGGGTACCTTCATATATACAACATATTCTATTCATATATTCACCTCTCCGAGTAAAAAAAAAAAAAACTATTTCTCCCCCTCACAGACATCTAAAAGACGTGGCAGACATCTGAGTGTTTACGTCATACATGCAGCAGCACAGCTCACCTTGATAACGTTTGAAGGCTTTCGTTTATGAGCCATTTTCGTTGCACTCAGAACTCGTTGGGAAGAAACTATTTAGCCATACCGAATTTAAAAGAATTTTTTCCTTGTAGCCATGTGTAAGGAACTTCTATCTTCCCCTCCACACCTTCTTCCACTTACTCATCCTCGGCAACAATTCAAGGCAGTCACTTAAACATCCATTAAGAGAGGTTGTTTAACAGACAGTTAAACTAGAGGGCAGAGCGGAGCAGTGCGTAGCTCCCACGGTCGCCACAGCCATACTGGCGGCCAATAGCGGCAGAACCTCCAAGTCCTGTACAGGAGAGCATAGTTGCCGCTTCCCTACTTTTCAACCATTCCGTAAAATACATAAAGATATGCTCTTAGTCATTTGACCTCCAGCTTCCATCAGCTGGACTTCAGCGGCGTCGAAATGAGAGCAATCTCCAAGAGGTTTCGTCTGGTCGGTATGAAAGCCTTGTGGCCAGAGAGTGTGAGGTGCATCTCGTAACACCCACCTCAGGCCTGGCTGCCACGAAATTGGATTTCGTGTGCCCCAAATAAAATGCCAGACGGAAAGGTTATGCGAGGTGCGGTAGATTACTCACACACGGAAAGTCATTTTGTGTTTTAAGATAAAGTTCAAGACGCTATTTTTTTCTCTCTCTCTAATGCTAATCCCACTAGGGAGGCTCCTTGACGTCGGCGATTGGCTCTTGATCCAAGCCTCCCCTTGCTTGGATTCAACGTGATTGCCTTCCATTTTCCCAGAGGCTGAATGACCCGTCTGAATCTAGCGTCTTCCTACGAACGTAATAATTGTAATATTGTAATTTTGCATACAAGTTTTCACACACACACACACACACACACACACACACACACACACACACACACACAGTGTAATAAATATTAGCCTACGATAAACTCAAATAGTAACAATATATAGGAGACGAATTGATATTTCGCTTCACACGGTGAGTGGTCCGGGTTCGATTCCCGGCGAAGGGGTGGAAAGAGTGGGCGTGTTTCCTCCTTACACCGGTTGTCTATGTTCACCCATCAGTAAAATGGGTACCAGGGTGTTAGTCGACTGATGTGGGTGGCATCCTGGGACAAAACTGACCTAATTTGCCCGAAATGTTCTGCGTAAGTTTACCTGGAGTTTCGGGGGTCAACGCCCCCGCGGCCCGGTCTGTGACCAGGCCTCCTGGTGGATCAGCGCCTGATCAACCAGGCTGTTGCTGCTGGCTGCACGCAAACCAACGTACGAGCCACAGCCCGGCTGATCAGGAACTGACTTTAGGTGCTTGTCCAGTGCCAGCTTGAAGACTGCAAGGGTCTGTTGGTAATCCCCCTTATGTGTGCTGGGAGGCAGTTGAACAGTGTGCGCATGAACTATGATGAGAACCTAAGCTCAGTCTAATAACACTAGAAGAGTTGGTGAATGCATTTAGTGCACCTAAGTCTTTATTTAGTGATGTTTCGCCCACGAGATGACCAAGGAAGACAAGATCGTACCACACAGGATTCAAAGTTTCCTTAGAGTGGGTAATTTTTTTTTTAATGAGGAGAGAATGCAGTGGGACTCGGACGAGTCATAGGGACTCAGAGAGGGGACTGAAAAGAACTCGAGTTAATATCGTATTTGTTAACACTATTGCAAATAAATTCTACAGCCACGTTTGTGTGGGACTAGCCAGTAAAAACTTGCGTTTGTGGTCACAGTGGGGCCCATGCTAACCTCCCTATGGTATATAGAAATATACCTAGTTGAAGGAATCTTTTTGGAGCCAGGTGGTCCAGTGGTTAACACACTGGTCTGTGAGTTTTACGACTCCCTCGCCACGGGTTCAAGCCCCAGCCGTTCCCTGATATGAAAAGTGCTTTTAAGGCTCAGCGTGGTAATTTAAACGCATTGCATGAAGAAATGGTGGAAGCAAGCACCATATAACTGTTATATACGTATTGTTGATGTTAGCAATGATGATTCTTCAATACAGTAGTGCCTATCGATGTTAGATTCGTTTTAGATCTTTTCTGTTTTCTTCCAGTGTATGAGATGGTCCTCTCTAGATGTGTGTAAAACGAACATTGCTGACATCCTCCAGGATGAATACACGTCTCCGTTCTAGGACCTGTAAAGTACACAAATATTTAGCACATAGGAGAAAAAAATTATGACGACGTTTCGGTCCAACCATTAACTAGTTAACTATAATTTATGACGACGTTTCGGACAGACTTGGACCATTAACTAATTGACTAGGATCACTAACTAGTTAACACAGAACAGTTCACAAGTTAACTAGTTAATGGTCCAAGTCGGGTCGAAACGTCGTCATAAATCAGTTAACTAGTTAATGGTTGGACAGAAACGTCGTCATAAGTTACTTCTATGTGCGAGTTATCTGTATATTGTTTCAGTCACGATATTGCGCCTTTTTGGCTCTTTCTGTAAGGAAAGACTAACCCCACATGGTAGTGTCAACCATCAATAATCTTAGCTTCCACAAGCAACTACGTAAATTCGTTACATGTAGTGTGTAACAAATTTCTCCCTTATGTTAGGGTAGGTTGTCCTCTCTCCATAAATAAAATAATCAATTATAATATGCCACAACGGAAAATAATATAAAGATAAAGGAGACGATAAGGTTCGTAGCGCGTACAGAAAAGTCAGCCACTGAGCCTAGTAGATATAATTATGTCAGATTTTCACTGTTTAAAGACTCTTCACCAGTCGCTTATTTGACTGTTTTTACAACAGTGAAATCATGCATCTTATTAAGAGGATAGGCTTATAATGTATGTTCCTACTTCACAAATATGGGGAGAATCATTCCACGCTGGTATCAATATGTCTTCTACCTTCAGGCTGACACTATACATGGCTGACTGGTGACCAGGAATCAGTTTAACCGGTCGATAACAGGTTAGGAGGCGGGGCTAGGAGGTATGAATCAACCCCTGCAAAATACAACCAGGTATTTACACACACACACACACACACACACGCACACACACACACGCACACACACACACACACACACACACACACACACACACACACACACACACACACACACACACATCTTAATAAGGAATCATTCAGGACCCTGTACATCGTGTACGTTAGGCCCATATTGGAGTATGCGGCACCAGTTTGGAACCCACACCTAGCCAAGCACGTAAAGAAACTAGAGAAAGTGCAAAGGTTTGCAACAAGACTAGTCCCAGAGCTAAGAGGTATGTCCTACGAGGAGAGGTTAAGGGAAATCAACCTGACGACACTGGAGGACAGGAGAGATAGGGAGGACATGATAACGACATACAAAATACTGAGAGGAATTGACAAGGTGGACAAAGACAGGATGTTCCAGAGATTGGACACAGTAACAAGGGGACACAGTTGGAAGCTGAAGACACAGATGAATCACAGGGATGTTAGGAAGTATTTCTTCAGCCACAGAGTAGTAAGTGGAATAGTTTGGGAAGCGATGTAGTGGAGGCAGGATCCATACATAGCTTTAAGCAGAGGTATGATAAAGCTCACGGCTCAGGGAGAGTGACCTAGTAGCGATCACTGAAGAGGCGGGGCCAGGAGCTCGGACTCGACCCCCGCAACCTCAACTAGGTGAGTACAACTAGGTGAGTACACACACACACACACACACACACACCACACACAACACACACACACACACACAGGTGATCTAAAATTGGTAATTCACAGAAAGGAAACCATAATAATCTTACCTTCCACGCGATGTGGTTGAAGTTGTTGTGGTGGATGTAGTTGTTATTGATGGTGTTGGAGAAGGAATCGATGGTGTTGGAGGAGTTGGTGGTTCTGGAGGAGCAGTGTTTGAGGTAGATATTGGTGAAGGGGAATCTGTAGTCAACCTCATGGCTGACTGCACTCACTCGCTCGTCGTACTGATGTTCCTTTTCCTCTTCCGCTTTCTCCTCTTCCATCTTATCTTTCCTCTCCTTCACTTCCTTATCTTCCTTCTCCTCCTCCTCCTCCTCTCCCTTTTTCTTCTGCTGTTGCTGGTTGTCCTTCCTTTCTTGGGTTCCATTCTGTTTTTGTTGTTGGTGCTGGTTTTGTTTTTGTTGTTGCTGCTGCTGATTTTGCTTTTGTTTATCTTTTTCAAGTTGTGATTGGTGTTCTATATGTGTTTGTTGTTGTTGGTGGCGGTGATGGTGTTGTTGTTGGTGCTGCTGCTGAAGATGATGCTGGTGTTGCTGCTGGAGTGAAGGCGGGAGGTGATGGTGGTGGTGTTGCTGGTGCTGTAGATGGTGATGGTGGTGCTGCAGCTGCTGCTGCTGTTGTTGTTGATGAGGGTGATGCTGGGGGTGGTGGAGATGATGTTGCTGGTGGTGAAGGCGAACGGGGGACGAATATCTTGGCACCTCCTTCGTCGTGGCATCTTCGGAGTGACGACTGTGAGAGAGAAAAAGAGACGTACACGTTAAATCCGGACATTGGAATTAGACGTACTGACACGAGAGCGCGCGCGCACACGCGCACACACACATACACACACACACACACACACACACACAAGGTAATAAGACTGAAGAAAGGAGAAGAACTCGTCAGAATTGAGAATGAAATCAGAGGAGTTGAACAAATGATCTGAAGAAGTGCTCACAGTGGGAACAGACACAACACTGGAGAGACAGAGGAAAATGGTGCACCAACAAGTATTGGACACGATACACACAACAGGGAAAGAGGTGAAAAAAATGTTTGATCTGGATACATCAAAGGCAAGGGGACCAGGGAGTCACCACGGAGTCTGAGAAATTGAAAATGCGTTTTTTGTAGAGTTTCTACATTTCACGGCTATATTATATCATTTGCATATTTACTTCAGAGTCGGTTATACATCCAAGTAGTGTTCTTCCTCCATGGTTTTCGTATATACCTTGAGAAATCATCTTCCAAATGGATCCAGATTTCAGAAGCTGGTGAAATATAACCACGGTAAATTAAAAAAAAAATCATTGTTTATATGCAGGTGCTCTGTCAGTTTTATATACACTGTTTCCTATTTTGGTTTTGGTACAATAACTTAAAAACAAAACAACTCTTCCGAGTGGCTTCAAACTTGCAACACTTGTGTATCTGACTTAGAAACACCTCAGTGTTGCTTTTGAAGTGTGGAGGTGCCAATTAACCATTTTTATTTTAAAAATGTTATATTTTTTCCAACAGCTTGAGATTTCCCCTGTGATTCACTCTATAACGACTGATGAATATTATGAGAAGGATTATATATTTTCCTTTCTCGTTTATTTTATTAAAATACTTAATAAGCTTGGAAATGTTTGATTCTGTGCAATAATTATATAATGCATAATTTTGTCGGCATTAAACTTTTTTATTTTTTACAGATGTGTGTTTTTTTTAAAATAAAAGCCACACTGATTTTCTCTTGTATTAATTTTAATTTACCAATTTTATTAAACAAATTGGTTCATGAAATAACTGGAGAATCACTTCTAATCGGCTTTAAACCTCTAAAGCCGGTGTTTCTTATACAGAGAAAGGTTTGTATTGATTCTGGGCTAAACATGTGACAATTTCTCCCTTAACTCGACTACTGAGACTCGGTAATAAATTAATCTTTCGTCAGCACACAACAGAACCGACCAGACTAAAAATTATTCTAGACCTTTTATTTATAAACGTTCTTGCCCTGTCATCGTATTTACTTGGACATCCTCCTCTTTTCAGCAATTCTCCAAGCTCCTGATGATGTGTTGATCGCAACATGAAAGGCCTAGGGTTATCATTCAACTCTCCCTGTGGTTGGTTTGCATTTGTTTCCATGTGATAACTTGTAAATGTCTCATCTGTATGGCTTAATATCTGCAACGTTGATATTTAACGGTTTCTGCCATGCATCAGGCAGAAGAGGCTGGTCTATGGTATTGGTCATTCCATTGAACCGCGTCATGATACTCTCGTCTGGAGTGTCGGAGGATCGAGCCTCCAGCGTTACACGTACACCGGGGACTCGACTAGCTTGTGGTACTAGGTCAGATGCCGTGCTCCCCCCTTAAGTGGATGTGACTGACCTGACTAGGTTAAGGCATTGGCTTAAGGCGGTAGGAGAATTAGACCTGCCTCGCATGGGCCAGTAGGCCTGCTGCAGTGTTCCTTCTTTCTTATGTTCTTATTCCTTCCTCGGATCGAGCAGCGACCGAAACATCTAGTTATATTTATGAGGGCACTAAACCAGCTGGGGTCATACACCACCTGGGGAATGGGAGACAACCAGGTTTAGCCCAAATGAGGGAATGAGAGGTCCAGTTCCTTGAATCAAAAGCCTTTCCCCAGCATCAAGGCACCTTTGAAGTGTACAAATCTTCAAGAATTCGACAATAAACGGCGTAAATAAAACAGGACAGGTGCTTGAGGCAAATACCATACACAGTTTTAAAATAATGTATGATAGAACACTGGAGGCCAAGAATCAGTAAAGATGTGTAATTTAGAAAGAAGCGGGACCAGGAACTATGATTTGACTCCTGCAAATTTATCTACGTGAATACAAGTAGGTGAGTACAACTAGGATTAAGAAAGTATAACCTGGCGAGTAGAATTAAATGAGCGCAGGTCGGCGAGTACAACTAGGAGAGTACACACCGCTGAAGGCATTAACACTAAATTCCCCATACCTGTTATGATGTGGCGATGGAGGTGGTGGTGGCGGAGGCGGTGGCAGGTTGGGGACGGGCATGGTGGGCGGAGGCACCGGGAGGTTGGCCACACCCAGGGGCACGCCCAGTCCCACGTGCACGCCCACAGAGCGTCGTGGGCACTCCGTACACAACACCAGAAACTTGGTGACCGCCTCACGAGGAACGAAGGCGTAACGTTCAGATACCTGGCGAGAGGAAGACAGCTCTTGCAGCCAATATTCCTACGAAATGCTACGATATACTATCCGTGACCTGTTCGGACTGCTTTTGTACCCTCGCAGCCCGGCCAGTGGCCAGGCTTTTCTGTTGATTGCCTATTCAAGCAGGCTGTCGCTGATGGGCGGCCCGCTGGCCCACATATCCATCACAGCCTGATCTATTTGACCGCACTGCGCGGTTATCCGGACCTGACATTTTATAAAGAGCAAGAACTGTGTTTACCTAACACTCATCACGTAAGATTGTTTTCAAGATGTACTCCATCACGTAGGAGGGTTTTGATTAGGGTCTATAACAAAGTCAATGCAATATATATATTTTTACGGGAATGTCTTTTGATTCTTGTTCATCAGTGTAAGTTATCTACAACGCTGTAATAACAAACACGAAGGCGAGGATAAAGTTCCTCAACAGGAAAGTACATCTGCTTACTAATGCACCTAATACCCTATGCCAGGCTCTTACATAATGACAGACTACTACTCATCATTATACTTTATTCAAACGAACGTCTGAAAAACAAACAAGTTCACAAATAAAAAAAATCTTTGTTGAAACTTTAGACGACGTTTCAGTCCGTCTGGAGACTTGATATGGTCCAGGACTGACGAAAACAACGTCTGCCTTTTTCCTCTCCAAATTGTGGGTTACTGCAAATTTGTTCGGCCTTTGTAATGGGACAAATTATTCAAAGTAAGATCGTACGGTTTATGGTAGACATGGTTGCTTTAGCAAACATGTAGATCACGAAGCACTATACAAAATTTAAAAGACTACAAGTGATTACCAGGTAGAAGGAGTAAACCAGTTAAGATTAAATTTACAAAACCGTGAACAACCTGTGCCTAAACAATGTAGCCAGAAATTTTGAACTAGTGAGAACCCCAAACTAACACGTTACTAGCGGGAAATGATCGCAATTTTGAAATTATCACGACTTTTAGGATTTTTAAAATCTTATCCATTTATAAAAGACTGGAATAGCCTAACCATTTCAGGCCTCATGGCAGATCAGGGCCTGATCAACCAGGCTGTTAATGTTGGCCGCGTGCAACCCGAGGTACGAACCACAGCCCGGTTGGTCAGGTACTGACTTTAGGTGCCTGTCCAGCGCCTTCTTGAAGACGCTGTGGTGTAATATGCCTCGAATGCTGCACACATCTACGCAGATAATCAACACTACTTGTAATTATGTTCGCTTGTATATCTAGCGCTGAGCTACGTGGGTGTGATATGCCATGCAAAATGGTAATCTCCATGTAAAAATAATTCCAACCCTGCTGGCTCGGTTCGCAACGCACCCTGCTCACAAACTAAGTGTCCTTGGTTTCATCCTCGGCATGGATGGAAACGTTGGAAACTCTGCCCCTGTTCACCTAACAGTAAATAGGTACCTGTTGAGGATCGCATCCTGGGTGAAGTAGTATACCTTTGATATGCCTGGGTTTTGATGAAGCATGATAGGAAAATAACCCTGCGTAGACTGTGCCCGGAAAAGCTTTGCTCTTTTTCTTAAGTTTTGTAAACTGTCATTTAGACCATGGCAACCACAAAATGCTGTTTATTTCAATTAAAATTTTATCATAATATAAACTACGAATGGGCAAGACATATTTGTAGTATATGAATTTATAGTGTAATATGTATCTAAGATTTGTATTACAGTAGTTGTGTCTACGATTTTTTTAACGACTTGTACTTAGCAAGGAAAAAATGTGTCGAAGACTGACTTTGAATATATTGAAAATCTATACCTATAATATTTCTAGGCAAATGTGTAGGCAGATATATACTTATAGGTGCTGTTTCAATATCTTTGGATGAAAAGAATTAATATAAATTATATGGATCCTCCTAGAAGCATATGCTTTGGGAAATGTAGCAGAGAAAACTATAAAAATGTAATGTATATTTTGATACTTACTGCCCGATACGTCCTCTTTTGACCCATATGCTTCTGTTCCTTGCCATCCTTACACACGTGAAGGTTGTAGATAATATCAAAGAAGTCCTCCACTACCGCCACCTTTTTGAAGCAAATTCTATCGTGTCCCTCCGGATCCTGAAAAAGAAAACGAATCCTGTTGTAGCCCTCAAAGAAAATGAAAACTGATTAGGTGTAACTCCTCTAGTAAGAACTCCTACGTAATTCTTCTAAAGGTTATAAGTAAGAAAGAAAGCAAGCAAGTTTATTCAGGTATACACAAATACAGTTACATAGATTATCATATATAGCAGCATATGTTTAGAGAACGTGCTATTTTCTTGTATAATTATCATATTACTTCCTTTATTAATCTTAAACACAAGTGCCCACGTAATAAAGACAACCTCAAAATGCCCTGTATCTAATGACAGGAATTACAATGCCATATAAATTACTCTTGCTCTTCATGGTACTCTGCCTTAACAAAAAAAAATGAAAGACTACAAATCATCCAGAATAAAATTCATCCTGGACCTGGATCAAAGAAAACATGTAGGCCAGGATGAATTACAACTGGATATGCTGAATGTTGATAACAGAGTAAAACAACTGAAGTTAAATTATATTTATAAAATTCCTCACAAGCAGAGTCCAGAATATCTTGCTGCTAAATCTGTCAAGGTTGGGAACTAAAACAAGTATAGTACGAGGGAAAGGGAACAACTTTGTAGTATGCACAGTAGGTGGTCAGACCTGAAACACCTTTCATTATACAGCAATAAAGGTATAGAACGGACTGCCTGGCCTAGCATGTGCCAGTTCAGGAAGAGAGCTAAAGGGTACCTAATGACTGAAGCTACAGAAAAGGAGGAGTGAGATTTCTCGAAAAGCTAACATACATGTACCTATTACTACAAAACTCATGTACCTGTGATCTGATCCTGTCTTTAGTGTTAATGTAAATAAATCAGTTCACATTATTCCTAGTATATCTCCTTTTATTGTAACTGCTTTTTACACAGTTGAGTTATTTAGCTCGTTTAACTTTAAAGGTGTACATAATAAGATATTACAAGGATCCTAATGGAAATAAGTCATTTTGTCTGACTTTTTTGGGGTTATCCAAGGTAATCTACATATATGCTGTTATGTATGATAATTTATGTATTTATGTATACATGTACCTGAATGAACTTAATTGAGGTCTGGCGTAGATGACACACTGCGAGGTGTGTATCACTTGGCTTACATTTACTGCGAGTTGTTAATATATTAATATAAGCCTGAAGACGATCACTATAGATAGCTTGAAAGAATAAAGAATATTAAATAAAAAATAAAAAAATACATAAGAATTACATTTAATTAACATGGTATACTCATATTGCAAAATTTCTAACGTTAGAATATCCTATTTTAATTCTAACTTGAATTCAAATGTAATTTTAATCGATTTCTCTGGAAGAGGTAAAAATATGGCTGAGGGAAGTCAGAATCACTGGTAATCCGATATGTGATCTTTCAACAGGAAATCCCTGATGCAGATATTTCCTTTAAAAAAGAATTACATTGCCGAAATATACTAAAACATGACTTGATTGACTGTTTTACGAATCCAAATATTCTTACGAGTTTACAAGGAAATTGCGATCTTAATTAGCCCCGTTTATTCGATTGACTTTCAACCCAATGAACGTTGTACACCCTTGTCTACCAGAAGGAATATACACCTTTCCTTATACGATGTTATGAGTTGGACATTAGTTGGACGCTGCACGCTGTGACAGCCTGTAACCTAGATGACCGAGAAGCTTATAGACCGAGACCGGGCAGCAAGGATCGTCTCACAACTAAATAACTGGTGAAAAAAAATGGTTTGGCGGTACCGACAACATGTGGAAAAAGACACTTATGTACAGCTCACGACATTACAGGAAACGTTTCGCCACGAGTAGCTTTTTCAGTCGTGGCGAGACGTTTCCTCTAATAAATGTCCTGAACCGTACGTATCTTTTTGTAAATAATTTGCTTTTCGTGATAAGTAGAAAGGAAGTATGGAATGTGTGTAGCAGGAGAGCGCAACCTCGTCTCCGGACATAAATTTTTAGCAGATATCCTATGAAAGAGATGAGAAATCTATTTGTCTTGTCCCAGCCGGTGTGTCATTAAACAAACTCAAGGGGTAGACTCATGGTAATCTCGTGTCAGGTATGAAAAAGATGTTAGTGGCAGTATAGTGGGGAGAGGATGCCAGAAATGCCTGGTTTTCTAGGTCTAAGGAAGAGTGGCGCCGGTGCCAAATGGGTCTTCTGAGTGGCGTCATACCTGGAGGTTATTCCGGGGATCAACGCCCCCGCGGCCCGGTCCACGACCAGGCCTCCTGGTGGATCAGGGCCTGATCAACCAGGCTGTTACTGCTGGCCGCACGCAGTCCAACGTACGAACCACAGTCCTAGATCCCACGAGGAAGCAAGTGAAATGTGATAGTTGAGATGTAGCTGTTGGACAGGTGTTCAGGGTGATGGGCAGGGTAGTGTCAAGGACCCACCATACCCCTCACACATCCTCACTCCATCACACACGCACACGCACACACACACGCCACACACACACACACACACACACACACACACACACACACACACACACACACACACACACACACACACACACACACACTTACTCACCAACCCTCTCACTCCCTAACCCCCCTGAGCCTTCCTCAGTCTACCTCACATTGCCATTACGTCCTTCACAATCCCTTACCCACCCTCCTTCCCTCACCCTCCCACCCTCCCTCACCCTCCCTCCACCACTCACCCTCCCTCACAATACAATGTCAGCCCAGCCGTCATGGCTCATGGCTCGACTTCCTCGCGCGAAGATTAAAGGAGCCAGGTTACTTATTACTCTTTTAGAAGGGTAATAAACGCATGGGTGAGAGAAAAGGAGAAATGGAGAGAGATGGAACGAAGAGAGGGGAAAAGTTATAGGGAAAAGAAAGGAAGCGGAAGGGGAGAAGGGAGAAGATGTAGATGGTAGTAGTTAAGAGGTAGCACCTCTCTTCCCCTCCTCTCCCGAAAAAAAAAGTTCCTTAGGCAGCCATGTAGAAATTTCCAGTGAGTCTTCCTTGGTGTTTTCCAGAAGCTGACACCACCAACAGGACGGCTAACGCTGCCCTAACACTACCATGACGGATATCCGCTGCCCTACCACCACCAGGACGGCTAACGCTGCCCTAACACTACCAGGATGGCTAACGCTGACCAAACACCGCTAGGACGACTAACGCTGCCCTAACACCATCAGGACGGCTAACGCTACCCTATCACCACCAGGACGGCTACCACCACCAGGGCGGCTAACGCTGCCCTACCACCACCAGGACTAATAACGCTGTCCTACCACCACCAGGACTAATAACGCTGTCCTACCACCACCACCAGGACGCTGACACTACAATGATGGCCACTGCTGCTGGTGCTGTAAACACCACAAAGACGGGTAAGTTTTCTTTAAGCACCACCAATATGGCTGACACCGCTCAACACCACCAGGATTGCTGACACCGCTCACAACACCATCATAATGGCTGATACCGTTCCCAACACCCCCAAGATGACTGATACCTTTCGTAACACCACGATTACTGACGCCTATCATAACACCACCAGGATGGCTGACGCGTCTCATAACACCACCAGGATAGCTGACGCCTCTCTTACCACCACCAAGATGGCTGACGCCTCTCATAACACCACCAGGATGGCTGACGCCTCTCATAACACCACCAGGATGGCTGACGCCTCTCATAACACCACCAGGATGGCCGACGCCTCTCATAACACCACCAGGATGGCTGACGCCTCTCATACCACCACCAGGATGGCTGACGCCTCTCATACCACCACCAGGATAGCTGACGCCTCTCATAACACCACCAGGATGGCTGACGCCTCTCATAATACCACCAGGATGGCTGACGCCTCTCATAACACCACCAGGATGGCTGACGCCTCTCATAACACCACCAGGATGGCTGACGCCTCTCATAACACCACCAGGATGGCTGACGCCTCTCATAACACCACCAGGATGGCTGACGCCTCTCATAACACCACCAGGATGGCTGACGCCTCTCAACACAAACTTGCTTGTAACACTAGCAGTTTCCAGCCAGGTTTATGGATGGTTTTGTTTATTTTATTTGCTAATATTTTCCATACACCCACGACCTTGGTGCTTGGGGAGTCGTCCTCCCCAGGCACAGGAAACTGGGGGTTGAAGGGGTCGTCCTAACCTCTTTCTCCTAGCATAGGTAAAGCTAGTTTTTGAGAGGGAGAAGCTGAAGGGACAGAAGGGAATAAATATGGGGTTTGTCCCTAATGGCATCTCCTCTATTCTCTCCTTCCCCATCTTTCTCTCCTCGCATCTTATCCCTTCCCTCCTCAGCTTCCTCCTCACCCCTGCTTCCTCCTCTCCTCTCTTCACCTCACCACCTCCTCCTCTACCCCTCCACCCCCACCCTCCCCTCCACACCATCTGTCGTCTCTCCTTGAATTTTCCACACTAAACGACCTACGTGAGAGCAGCAGCGAGCCATGAACGGCAGAGCTGGTGGGGAGGCAGGTGTGGCGGTGGGGGATGCTGGGGACAGGTGTGGTGCTGGGGAGGCGAGCGAGAAAGAGAGAGAGAGAGAGAGAGAGGAGAGAGAGAGAGAGAGAGAGAGAGAGAGAGAGAGAGAGAGAGAGAGAGAGAGAGAGAGAGAGAGAAACTTCCCACACTGTATACTGTACGAAGTACCCACAATCCATGTGAAGTATATGCAATGGGATTGGATGACAAAAACATCAAAATCGATAGTACTTGTCCGACAGACTGAATGACTGAAGCATATATGGAAAATTATGACTGCCTGCCAAGAAGACCAAATAAGGTGACTGATTGCTTCCACGGAGACCAAGGGACATGACTGCCTGCTGCAGAGATCAAAGCCGATGCTGATTAGCCGACCCAGAGACCACAAACGATGGTGATTGGCGACAAAAGAGAGATGATTAGGTATCACAGCCCAATCTTTGTGGAGACACCAGGTTGTTGGGCAAAGGTGATACGGCCTCCTCACGCTATTATGC